TGTTTTGTATTTTTGGTAGGGTTTTACAACCGAAAAGCACACAAACATATTTCGATCAGACATGTAAACCTACAAAGCTAACTTCGCTTCTTTGGTGACCAGAACCCGCTACATCCTGAATCGCCGTGTCATTCTTTCACTCTCGGCTAACAGCCGGCAAGTAAATGTTGCACAAGATTCTGTAGCCGAGGCACAAGTCTGCATTGTGCAAGGCGGAGGTGGAGTCCTTGAACTGGCCGAACACCCACTCGACCAAGTGTTTCTTAAGCATCTCGGCATGCCCCGGGATGTGGACGATGCCCACGTACGACGTCTTCTGCGCCAGGCAGGCCTTCGCGAACTCCCCGTCGGCCTCTGTCGCGTTCATCACGACAGCGGCCTGAACCCCTCGCGCGAACTCCCCATAGAAGATATCCGGCAGGCTGTGGTAGTTCACAGGCAGCAGGTCGTTCGCCAGCTTTGGGAGCGGTGGGGGATCCGACACTGGGCAAGGACCGCCAGCCAAGGAGATGCCTTTGGATCCGTAGAGTGTGGTCTTCGCACTCGCCGAGAGCTTCCAGAGCGTAGGGTCTTCGTAAGGAAGAACTTTCACCGGGCCGATGGAGGTCTGCTGATTGGTGCCGCCATAAATCTTACGAGGCAACTTCTGGAGCACCAAGGGCCCTTTGGTCATGATGTGCATGCTCTCGTGGGTCTGCAAGACCCCGCGCACCAGACAGCGGCGGGCCCTCAGAGACTGCTCCTCGTAGGTAAGCAGCATCTCAGTCCGTGTCTTCTCGTCGTAGTGACACCCCGCTCCATCAACGAAGCATGCCATGATGCCTAAGCAGGCCAATGGAGAGGCAAGCACGACAGACAACGGCTTACACTGCACACTGCCTTCGGACATGTGCTGCCACGGGGACCCGGAGTGACCTGCTTCATCCCATCCAAGACCACTGCAATGTCGCCTACCTCCAACTGCGCCTGCGAAACAACAGCGGCCGGCTGGGACAAATCGCTCAGCAGCCAAGTGCTTCTGCATGCGTGCCCCTGCCTGGTCTCGCGCGCTTACGAAAGCCTGCAGTTTGCGTTTCAGGTCATCCGCGCTGAACTTTGGCACACGAATGCGCGGTTGACAGGAAGACTCCGTGGCACACTTCACGTCGTACCACAGCATGGCTCGCTGACCCTCTTTCAGCTTGCGGGCCACAGCCGTCCCTTTCACAGCAGCGTCGAAAGTCTTCTGCGTGCCGGAGTCCACGACGAACTGGCAGTAAGTATCAACGTGCTGCGATGCTGCACGCAGGAAAGGCAGCAGTTCGCTCCCCTTCGCAGCGATGGTCTCTGGCTGCACCAGACCCGCGAGCACCTCTGTCAGCGAAGCCTTCCCCAGCTCGCCTCTCGGATCCGCCCCTGACCCCTTGGTCTCGGGCTCAGCGGGCTTCAGCGTGTCCAGGTCGACCTGGATTTTCGCAATCAATCCCGCAAGCGGCTCTGCCTCCAAGATGTCTGCGGGGTTGCTCTTGCTCTTGAGGGTGTTGCGCAGGGGCCCGTCGTGCACGCCGTTGAAGATGACTTCCTTCAGAAAGCGATTGCTTAACTGTTTCTATAGGGGGGGCATGGCCGTCACACAACTCGGGCCTCCAGGAACTGCGCGCACTTGCGAGCAGCCTCTGGCAAGGCTGCCTGCCAGGTAACGTCGACCTTCTCTGGGCCACCACCCATCTTGCTGCGAAACTTCGCGTGGGTGCCCAGAAGCTGCAGCTGCGCCACCTCCTCCTTGCTCAGCACGCTCTGCTGTCCGACCCAGGCCAGGAAGTGGTTCTTCAAGGATCTCTTGGCCTGCCACAGCTGCAGGTATCTTGGCGTGCCAGGCTTCGTCGAAATCAGGTGGCGGCTGCTGAAATCGCGGTTGCTGGCTTCGCCGACGAAGAGCTGATCCTGCATCGTCTGGAGGTACCAGGCGTAGTCCTCCTTATCGCCTCGGCTGCAGAGGACGTCGAGGGTCTCCATGAAGTTCAGGCAGCTGGCCTTGCCGTACTGCTCCTCCATGGTCAAGATCACCGCCAAGCAGTCCGGATCCTCCAAGAGCCGAGTCCACACGCGATCTGCTGACTCAAGCCAGTTCACGTCCAACGGCTCCACGAGCTGAGAGTCCAAGGCACGCTCGCCAGACTTCGCGTTCCAAATCTTGCAGAGGGTGGCCGCGCTCTGACTGCCATGGTGTCGCTGGTATTCTGTTGTCCATGTGATGACCTCGTAGATTCGCTGAAGCACGGACCGACTCGTGGCCTCGTGGAGGGCAGTCTGGGTGTTGCGGGCAGCCACGTGTGCAAAATATCTCGCCTCGTCCGTGCCGAACACTTCGCAGCGCAGCGAGATACTCAGGCAAACCGTGCGCCAGCTCCTTGTTCTTAGAAGGCTTGGCCGAGTCAGGCCACGGGTGTCGCATGGGCGTCTCTACCTATATACACACGCACATACACATATGTACATCAACCTCCTTCTTTAAACAAAAGCTTATCACACCTGTGTGACAAGAGTCTATATTACAGTGTTTACAAAGATATTGGAAACGTTTATATATGTATTTATGTCTGCGTGCATATACATGTATATACACGGTGAGTCCGTCGTGAATCTGTGTTTGTGTGTGTGTGTG